ATTTATACGCCTATAGTATAACGCTACCATTTAGCCATTTTTACATGATGTTTTTATAACGCCAATGAGGTCATGTCAAATTATATGCATGGATGTTCAATACCATATTTACTGAGTGGCAAAATCGGCACTGGTGTGTGATAAAGCATATTAATACGGGGAAGTCAAAAACCGCGGGTCCGGGCTTTGACTTGCCCGGCTATAGACTACATGTGTATATTTAAAAGAAAATCAAATAAAAAACAATTAAAAAATATATAGAATTCTATACCTATCAATGAATTTTTCAGTGTCAGTTCTAGTCGGGGCCACCATTTACAATGTAATTCAATGATAAAAGGCAGGGTATTCCGATAACGGAACAAATCTCAACTTTTCGGATAAATAATAAACGTCGAGTGTTCCGAGTGAAAAGGGAAGCGGTGCATGTAATACTGAATGACAATTTTTAAAACGGAAAGAAAGAAAGGAATTTTTTAACGACTTCCCCGTTCATAGGCTTTGCCTAATTTCATATTACATATTAAGCGCAGGTCAATAAGTTTTAATTTTAAGTGATATGAAAAATATTTTCTGTTGTGCTGTCTTTGTAAATCCAATAATTTTCCTCATTTTTTTCCTCTTGATTACAGTTTCAGACCTAAAATAAAATTGCGTTCTTAATATTTATATAGATCTATACTAATATATTGTAATGTCCTAGAAATTTTACCTTTTTTAGTGATTTCGCTGATTATTTCTACTTTCACTTTCGTTTTGAGAAGCTTTTACTGGCGACAAGACAGTAAATCATATGTGGTGTCCTAATGGAACATACAGGACATCAACTTAAATCTACGTATTGTGCCAGCAATTTAATCATTCTTGATTCTGGAAGCTTTTCCTTTAATGTTATCTATTTCCCTCAATGTTATCCGTGGTAGAATCCTGTGTTTTTAATCTGTTTTCGTGACTTCTGTCAAAATAGTTAATTCCTTTATTTTACACTCAAGATTATATATTTCGATTGTTTATGATGCAGCCTCACTTAATATATAGATTTGCCACATAAATCCATCTGAATTTAATTGTTACCACTGTATATTTATAAAAATTTGCAATGAATTTCCAATGTCGGCCATTTTGGACTATTACGTAGAGATTACGTAGTGAATGCAAGGGATAGTTCTTTATCCGATTGCGCATAAAAAGGAACACTTTACAATTAACGTTTTTACTTTCGATATTAGCGCATGATAGCTTATAAATATATCTAAAAATCATTTGTTGAGGCTGTGACAAAAATTTATTTCGGTGCTAGGTTGAGTGCATTTCAGTTCTTACATAAACTCGTTTAAAATACATTTCTAGCTACCTTACAGTACAGTATAGATCTACATGTATATAATGATCAAAATTTATCGCTTAAACGTTCTACATGTAGCTAAAGTTGTTAAAAACTTAAAATGATTACGATGTTTTAATAAAGGTTTAGAAACGTTTTCTTTTTGCGTGCGTTTTAGCGTGCGTATATCGTTTAGCGTATTTCGTTTAGCGTATATCGTTTTGCGTGCGTCTGCGTATTTCGTTTCGTTTTGCGTGCGTATAACGTGCGTTCGTATAGCGTGTAACGTGCGTTCGTTTAGCGTGTAACGTGCGTTTTGCGTGTAAACTGACACGTTCACCCTACTGTATGTACATTAGGTTTTTGAGAAAATATGAGCACGGAGCTGAACATTTTCAATGAAATGTACTGTTTGAACTAATCAGTGTTTATCAGTTTAAGTTAAAACTGCTGAGAATGTAAATTGTACAACAGGTAAATTGTACAACAGATGACGTGTCCAAGTATAAAATAAAACGCATTGTATGTGAAAGGCTTATTTCATTTTGGAAATCATGCTATAAGAATTTGTTTTTGTTTGTTGCACTGTCTTTTTACAACTACATTTTGATTTTGTGCTAAAATGCAGTAGGAGTGCCATTTTGGTATCAAAATAGCTTTCTTTGATCTTTTTATTGTGTAAACTACATCAAACAGAATTGTGGAAGTATAATAAATATACATATTTCATGAATAAAACTGCTATTTCTGACATTTTATGATATAGTGCCAAATACTAATCGATATAAAAAATCGATATTCAAAACAGTATCAATATTGTAATGTTGTATACAGTAATACAGTCGTGTTAACGTTATAGGAGGGTTATCTTTAACTTTTAAAAAAACAATCCATCCTGTACAAAGAAGGACTTTAGCCCTTTACCTGCTGACTGCTTGTTAAATGGACTTGTCCAGCTTTTTGGAACAGTTCATCATGAGTTTTGGGGGATATTATGATGAACATGTAAAGCTAGTCGCCGAACAGTATAGAGCCAGGTCAGACTACACGGAATCACAGGCTGGCATGACTATATACTGATGACGGACGGCCAATCACGTTATGTTCCAGCAGGTTTTTGGGTTACTGAGTTGTTGGACTTGAAACATTCCTTTGATGGTTTTACTAACATACACGGTGACATAGTTTCAAAGAGTCAAAAACATTCATGACGAAGTAAGAAGGTAAAGTTAAATGTGACGTTCCCACCTCCACCCACATGCAATATCCCTCTGAAGAAAAACATAACATTATAAATTGTATGCAATTCCTTTACGTAATGTTTCACGACACATATTTCTGTGTTTTCTAATTCAAAATATATCATAGTAACATACTTAGTAACAGTTAGTCCTATATTAGTTCTGAGTTCTCCTATTTCCATTTTCTATTTGTTTCCTGTTACTTCCTTCCTTACACAACCGTGTAATGTTTTCAACTCTATGATAACATAACGTTATATGTACAAAATAAATAACAATTACACATCACATACTGCTAAAATATCTCAACACTAAGAAACAAATTGGAATTGAAAGTAGAGAAAAAATGAGCCGCGTCACGACAAAACCAACATAATGGGTTTGCGACCAGCATGGATCCAGACCAGCCTGCGCTTCCGCGCAGTCTGATCAGGATCCATGCTGTTCGCTTACCAAGTCTATTACAAGTAGAGAAACTGATAGCGAACAGCATGGATCCTGATCAGACTGCGCGGATGCGCAGGCTGGTCTGGATCCATGCTGGTCGCAAACCCATTATGTTGGTTTTGTCATGACACGGCTCAAATGTTAACATATTTAAAAAAAGAGAAAAAAAACAGTAAAATGGAGATGTTTAAAATATCACCTTATTTTGACAAAACGGAAAACACAAAATCAACCTTCCTGCTCTCATTTAAACAAATATAATATGCAAAGCACGCTTGATTAAAACAATTATTACATCATTCACTACAGTTCCAAAAGAAATCGAAGAGGCGCTAAAAGTTTGTGAAAGCAAAACTTTATTAAAAAGTTAGAAATTTAGTAATGATAAAATAGTGTAACCAATGAAGGTGTTGACCTTTGAACTTGTGGTACTGTGTCTTTCGTTCTATTAAAACTCATAAAATTTGTAAGTAAAACTTCGTATCTGCCATAGAAATTAGTTTTTTTCTTTCTTAAATCAAAGGTCCATTATGCCCCAGAAATGCTAAAAAAAAGACACCCATCGGGCAATTACCTGACCCAACTTTTCTGTTTTGCAATAAGTATTCAATTTCACATTATCTGCTACTTTCTTCAGGGAACAAGCATCTAACATGCTCTAAAATCTTTATTCAAATGCTATTAAACTCATGTTTGCCCTTATAAATGGATAAAATATATTTGTTTCTGAGACATAATGGGCCTTTAATCTATCTATTAATGAGATCATCTCGTAATAAGGCTCGTGGTAAGGCGGCCTGGTGCAGGCCAATCTTTCATTCAAACTTGGTCCGTTTTACCCGGTTAGTCAAACTGCATCATATTGTGCGCTGTTCCCTTTTTATTTCTTTCCACTTCGCCCGATTTTTAGTTCGTTCAGTGACAGACTTTAGCCAGTCCGTTGCCTTAACAATTCTTTTTAATTAAAGCACGTACCTTGAATAAGTAAGAAGTTCGGAAAAGTAAATGTTGTTTTGCATTATCGTAATATAGTGCGTATGTAGTTGAATATGATTTCATAAACTTGAGGTTAAAAATGTCTTAAAAAGATATTCTCATACTGTTGAGCTGTTTCTTAAAATATTAAAGAAAAAACTAACTTTTGCACACATAAATAACGTACCCACAAACAGACATGATATGGCATTAAATACAACCATTATATGGAAAAGAGAGGAAATGGTGTATACACTAATATAATTTTTTCTCATATACAAATAAAAAAAGAAAAGTGCAAAGTGCATTGTCTATTTATATTTGTAACTATTTATAGTCAAAAGAAGAAAAAGTTTTAAAAAACCCATTCTTACATAAATGTCTCATTTGAGCCGCGTCACAACAAAACCAACGTAATGCGTTTGCGACCAGCATGGATCCAGACCAGCCTGCGCATCCGCGCAGTCTGATCAGGATCCATGCTGTTCGCTATCAGTTTCTCTACTTTTTATAGAGTTGTAAGCGAACAGCATGAATCCTGATCAGACTGCGCGGATGCGCAGGCTGGTCTGGATCCATGCTGGTCGCAAACGCATTACGTTGGTTTTGTCGTGACGCGGCTCATATGTTTTCAGAAACAACATTCTCAAAAACACGTATGTTGAATAAAACGTTCAACAATAAATCAACGTATTGATGCAAAACATAGTTAAATATATATATATAATATATGAACAAAGATGTCTTTTATTTTTGCATCAATAACAATAAAAAGGAAATATTTTAAAATGAGCAAGGTCAAATTTTTGTACAAAAATTTCAAGGTGACACACATAAGAAAAGGGTAATGTTGTAATACTTCAATACATAACGAGTAACAAAAAATCTTGTGAAAGATGTCTACTAATGTACATTCTATAAAAAAAGAATCTTTTCTTTTAAAATATCACCAGTAAATAACAGTTAACATTATGTCATTCATTTCCGCCCATTAAACGTACATTGTAAACAAATACAACTTTCTCATTATTAAACATCATCAACCCGTTTCCGTTTTTCTATTGGTCACAGGCAATCGGATCAACTCGGCAATTTTTGATGCTATGTAAAGCTATCCGAACGTTATCAATCACATCGGGAAACATTGTTTATTATTTTTACTTCGTTTGGTTCCGTAAGTTTTGATTATCGCTCCATAAAGCGTTGGTGGTAGATTTTGATCATACTTAATTTCTTTGAATATTTCTTTTGAATATATCTTTTATCCTTCTATAAATATTTTGATATTCTTTTGAAGCGCGTACTATTCAGTAAATTACACTATCGAGGCATACCTTACTTTTTCCTCAGCATTAAGTCAGTAAAAATAATGCTGAGTGTAGAATCTTGTATATGTACGACATTCATAAATAAAGTGATAAGAAGACTTTGAGCTGAATTTTCGCACAATACGTCAAATGACAATCCTTTCCCAAACACTGATTCTAGCGTCTCCTCCTTTTTTCCGTCCTGGCCTTGTTAATTTCCAGAGGACTTTCTGGAAATGGGGTCTCTAATTATTTTTGGATAAACAGAGTATATATAATTTTTGGTGCGGTGTTATAATGTAGAGATTCTCACTACATTTGTATTTGGGTTATGACAGGGCGCATGCCCCTGTATTGGAGACACCGCCGTACTCGTGCTCTGTGTGGTCTTGGATGACTCCGTCTCCGGGGTGGTGCTCGGTGTGGGAGCAACCATTGCTTGGGTTACAGTGAGGGTATTGTTAGATTTATTGTTCATGTTATCAACAGCGTTCAAACTCGATCTTGAGGATCTATGTAAAGTTGGTAGACGAATCTGTATGTCATTTAATTCGTCTTGTTCCTCTGTATGCCGGTTACGTTTCTGTAAAAAAAGATCTTTATTGTATTATATCTCATACATTTATTGTATTATATCTCATACATTTTGTAATTTAAATAATCATGTCAGTTACTTAACTCTGTGAGGACAGTATGCATTTCTCGATTTCATTCCAAGACTTTTTCAATTGGCTCATTTACAGTCATTTAATTCCTACGGCAATATATTTGTATACTTACAATATAATTATAATAGTGTCGTATCTAAATGTAACTAAAACTGAAAGACGATGTGAATGCTTCATAAAACTTTGATTGCGATATCTTAACATTTTAAAATGTAATCTATATGTGATACAGATATTATAGAATTTAAAATATTTTATCATTTATAGCATAATTCGTAAAATGACTTATTTCTTTTGTAAAAAAAGGAAAATAACGAAATTAATAAATGAACAAAGGGAATTCAGTAGAAATAAAAGAAACTGATGCCTAAATTATTTCCATACCAACAGTTTTATTACTTTGCCTAATGAACTTATAATTGAAGATAAACCTTTACATGTATAAATTCTAATAATTTCATCATTACCTCCCTTTGACAGAATTTTTGTCTGTATTACATACGCTACTACGATGAGTAACGCAAAATATAAATGAAATAACCACCATCAGCAGTAAATTATATACAGATTTATTCTGCCTACATTCTTTGGTTTTAAGTGGTATAATAGTTGCACGTTGACGTTTCATCAACTTATTCAAAATAACTTTTTATAATGCCTTGATCCAAAAAAAACAACAACAACACAAACATGTTCATCTCTAAGCAAATGTCTGTCAAAAGGGACCATGGATTCCATGTTCGATTACAGACAGGTTGCTGACTGTAACTCCATGGTTGATAATTCGAATCCGATGTTGGTACTGCATTCGTGCATAAGGTGACTGCTGGAAGTTTAGATTTCGGTCTTTCAATTTGAAGCCGTCCTTCGAAATGTCGGTTCATATAATAAATAATATAAATGAGCCGTGTCATGACAAAACCAACATAATGGGTTTGCGACCAGCATGGATCCAGACCAGCCTGCGCATCTGCGCAGTCTGATCAGGATCCATGCTGTTCGCTATCAGTTTCTCTACTTGTAATAGAGTTGGTAAGCGAACAGCATGAATCCTGATCAGACTGCGCGGGTGCGCAGGCTGGTCTGGATCCATGCTGGTCGCAAACGCATTACGTTGGTTTTGTCATGACACGGCTCAAAGAAGTATTTGCTTACCCTGCCCATTAAAAATCTTCTATTACTAGACAAGCGTCTACCCCCCAAAAAAATTTTTTTTAAAAAGAGGGGGGGGCCCGGGGGGGGTTTTTTTTTTTTTTTGGGGGGGGTTTCCATTCCCCCCCCCCCAAAAAAAAAAAAAATTTTTCCCAAAAAAAAAAAAAAAAAAATTTTTGGGGTTTTTTTTTGGTTTTTTTTTTTAAATTTTAATTTAAAACAAAAAAAAAAAAAACCCCAATTAAAAGGGAAAAATTTTTTAAAAAAAGGGGGGGGGGGGGCTTTGGGTTTTTTTCCCCCCCACCCCCCAAAAAAGGCCAAACCGGCTTTTTTTAAAAAAAATTTTTAAAAACCCCGGGGGGGAAAAAAAAAAATTTTTTTAAATTTTTTTAAAAACAAAAAAATTTTTTAAAAAAAAAAAAAATTTAAAATTTAAAAAAATTTAAAAAACCAAAAACCCCCCCCGGGGGGGGAAAAAATTTTTTTTTTAAAAAAAAGGGAAAAAAGGGGGGGCCCCCCCCGGGGGGGGGGCCCCCGGGTTTTTTAAAAATTTTTTTTTAAAAAAAAAAAAAAAATTTTAAAAAATATTAAAACCCCAAATTTTTAAAAACCCCAAAAAATTTTTTTAAAATTTTAAGGGTTTTTTCCCCCCGTTTTAAAACCTAAAAGGGGGAAAAGGGGGAAAAAAAAAAAAAGGGAATTTTTTCCAAAAAAAAAAAAACCCCAAAAAACCCTTAATTTGGTTTTTTAATTCCCAAAAAAAAAAACCCAAAATTTTCCCCAAAATTTTTTGAAAAAAAAAAAAATTTAAAATTTGGGAAAAAAAAAATTTTAAAAAAAAAAAAAAAAAAAAACCAAAAATTTTTTTTTTCCCAAAAATTTTTGAAAAAGGGAAAAAATTTTTTCCCTTTTTGAAAAAAGGGAAAATTTAAAAAAAAAAAAAATTTTTTTTTAAAAAAAAAACCCCCCAAAATTTTAAAAAAAAAAAAAAAAAATTTTTCCCCCCCAAAAAAAAAAAAAAAAATTAAAACCCCTTTTTTTTAAAAAGGGGCAAAAAAATGGAAAAAAAATTTTTTTTTTTAAAAAAAAAAAAATAATTTTTTTAAAAACAATTTTCCAAAAAAAAAAAAAGTTTTTTTAAAAAAAAAAATTTAAAAATTTTAAATTTTACCAAAAAATTTTTTTTTGGGGGTTTTTCCCCCCCCCGGGGGGAAAAAAACCCCAAATTTTTTAAAAGGGGTTTTTTTTTTAAAAAAAAAAATTTTTTTTTTTCCCTTTTTTTTTAAAGGGGTTTTTTTTGGGGGTTTTTTTTTTGGGGGGGGGTTTTTTAAATTTTTATTTTTTTTTTTTTTTTTTTTTTTTTTTAAAAAAAAAACGGGGTTTTAAAAAAATTTTTTAAAAAAAATTTTTTTTTTTAAAAAAAAATTTTTTTTTAAAAAAATTTTTAAAGGAAAAAATTTAAAATTTTCCAAAAAAACGGAAAAATTTTTTCCTTTTTTAAAAAAAAAAAAAAATTTTAAAAAAAATTTGGTTTTAAAAAATGTCATTGATTACTGAAGGTAATAATATAATTTGTCTACTTAAAGGTCTTGTCCAAAAGATTTGTGTAGCTAAGTATTGAAAAATAAAAAAGTTATAAATCGTTTTAACAAAAATCAAGCAAAATTCAAACATTTGACAAGGTCTTCTTCTCTGGTCTTTTTGAAGGTTTTGTCCAAAAGCATGTTTTGTCCACGTATAAAGACAACTCAATAAAAATTTAAAAAAATACCGGCCATTGTTAAAGTTTTCAGGCGGCAAGGAACGACATGACTGTAGCAATACATCGAATTTTTCTTTCGAATAAGTCGGGCTTATAAAAGATACATATTTGTCGGAACAATTTTTTACGAAGAGAGTAAAATAAACTATGTTTACTTAATTTATGTATAAGCAATAAATACCTAACAATCATTACAATATTCACTATGATCATTAATACGCTAATTTATGTGCTAATTTATGTGCTAATTTATGTGCTAATTTCAAATTAACTCATTGTTACAGTTACGGTGAATTGCTTTATTACATGCCGTAACTGCTCTTATTTATGGTGCTTTGGTTTATGCCATCGTTGTCCACATTTTTGTGTATTTATTGTGCTTCTGCATTTATAGCCATACTTTTTGCATTTATCTTAGCTTATTTTAATTCATATTTGTATTTACATGTACTTTTTTGAAATTGTTTTAATCGGCCACAGATGGTTTTCGAGTCAGCCTTAAATTTGGTAACGACCATGTTTCATAAAAAAGATAGGGAAATTTACTTAGAATTGGCTAGCGGCTGTTCTGACGACCAAACTTTAATAACTTTACAAATGTACGGAAAAAAAATTTGTTTAACTTTTATACACGAAATAAAAATAACAAACATCAAACATACCGTTGTATTTTCTAAACAATTTAACAAATGATGATGTTGCATATTGAATCTATCCTGATCACGAAATGACTCTCCAATATCCATACCACTCTCTTGAGCTAAAGCCATCTCCTCCGCACGCTTCTTGCTATTCAAGAACGCCGCTCCACTCGCATTCTTCGCCATACGAATGCGTGCTTGACGGGCTTTCTGTTCAAAACGAGAATATAAAAAATATGTTTTATATGCTAAATATATACTGCAATACTATATCGTTTCTTTTTGTATATTAAATATATTAAGGCAAGTGTTAAATTTTGTATCTGTAATGAATCTTATATACTAGAATATGTCCATAAATACAACACATGGTATAATATACATGTAGAATAAAATATTAAATTACAGAAAAGAATACGTTGAATGAAATAATACTTAGATATAATATAACAGAATAAGAATATTATATAGAAAAATGTTCAAAATAGCAGTACAGATATAGTTTCCGTGTTCTTGATATATCGGCATATAAAATACATTATACAAAAAGGATCTTTAAGATATCTTAAATACAGATAAAGAACAGCATTTCAGTTTACTTTTATAATAACAATATTAAAATCACATGTATATACAAATTAGTAAAAAAGAACAACATTGACTATCATTATGCCTCAGAAATGTGTTCAATTTTATTTCTTCAAAACTTTGTATTTTTGGGATCTTTTTTACAGTTTCCGAAAAAAATACTGCTTTACCATATACATGCACCTTTTTGTTGCTTTTGTTCTGTTAGCAATTGATAAAATAACATATTGAATTAGTATTTTGTATTGAAGTCAAAATACTACTGTTTACGAATTAATGATGTTAACATTTTGCTACCTTTGCGGTACAACACTGCACATTCGGCCCTACTTTCTTCAGTTGTTTAACATCTTAAATGCTCTAAATCCATTATTAAAGAATTATTAAACAAATGTTTGGCATTTCTAAAGAATTTAAAATATTTTATTTTTGGGGGGCATAATGTGCCTTTAAAGAAAACAAGTAATTGGGCAGTGATTAATGCATAAGGAGCAGCAACATTTGGAATTATTTTATCATGAAATAAAAAAAATACAATTAATTAGACAAGAGAAAATAGAACAAAAAGAAAAGAAGTAGAATACAAAAGATAAAACAGAACAGTGAAACCTTTTGATGAATCCTACGGAAACGTATAGCGACCATCCATATATGATATATATCAAATGACCTTTTTTTACAGTTTTATAGTATGTTTGTTATATGCAAATATGATTTGAGGAAAAATTACATATTTAAAAAGATGTAATTGTTGTATGTTTATTTTTTTTCATTTTGTCAAAAAGCTAAAAGTAGTTTATCTTGCATTATATGATAAAAACGTACGATAGACTACAAACAAATACGCATTATATATGATTTACAATATTACTTGATTTAATTGCTTCCTTTATCAAATACAAATGTCTTGACTTTTCTCGTGTCACACATCATATAAGACGAAATATCACTTAAGCTTTGAGATCTATGTACTTATAATAACATCAAATGGTCATATATTCCTTTTTATATAATATTTATCATGTACCTACGGAAACGTATACTGACCATATACATCCAATTATACAATCTGCCTATTACCGAGAACTATATAACTGCAGCATTTATACATGCGTTATATTTGGGTGCAGATAATTAAACAGTAAACATTGTTAATTATATTTGGAGACATATATCTTTCTAATCTATAATGCTGTATTAATTATATATTCAATATATATAACTGTAATATCCAATGATTTATATTTCACAAATTTTAAATAATACGAAGTGGAATTTTTCTTAAATTAGCACAAATAAAAATAAACGCTTTAAAGGCCAGACTTATACCGTTTCAAAAAAGATAATCTTACTTTCACGTGGAAGTTATAAAAGAATTTTTATAAATATCTGATAGATTTTGTCATTTTATATATGTTCAACTATATAACTTACGTGAAATTACTGATATTGTTTTCATTTTGATAAATATAAGGGGGGTCAGTATACGTTTCCGTAGAATCCAGAATAGAGCAGAAAAGATACCAATAAGAATAATAGAATAGGACAGAATTGAATAGTAAAACTTTATTTAAAACTTGCAACAGTTACATCAGTAATAAATGCAGCTAACATATTTATAATAAGTCAAGCGTTAAAAATGCACACGTATAGCTCTTTAAAGATCATGTAACACGATTTTTTATGGTTTTATGGTTTTATATCTTAAATATGATGGTCAAATTAATATTTATCAATTTTATAAGTTCCAATAAGCATTATCTATAAAGATATTGCCAATTTAACATTTCATGTAAATAAAGGGAGGTAATAAAACAATTATTTTCTATAAAGTCTAATTTAAATTTTTCAATAAGAAATGAATGCATATATTTTAATGATAACATGTAATATGTACAAATATTTGCAGTACGTATTTTACATATTCGTCGATGTAAGCATAATTATATACATATATATTCACTTAAGTGTGGTATACAACCTCAGTTACAACATACAGGATCTTTAACAATCACGTAATTTATAAATTAAAAAATGCATTATAGTAAAAAAGGCATTTTTTGATAAATATAAATCATGGTCCTATCAATCAGAGTAAAATCAAATTTAAAATATAAATAAAATTTTCTGAATTTGTAGACCATGGATACTTTGAAGAGTATTCAAATAGGCTAGAATCACTTGTCAACTGCATTGAAATTGAGGGGCGTGGGTTCAGTGCATAGAAGGAGCAACTTTTTTTCTTTCTTTGTTTTTTCCTTATTAACATTGTTTTTGTATCTCTCAGATCCCTTATGGAAGAAAAGTGCTTGATTCAATTTATATAATGTGTGTAGGTATTCATTTGCTAAATAATGCCAAATTTAATAGCAAATATGATACTAGATATTTTCAAATTTTAATAAAATAAAAACTACACGATTAAAGTATTTTATATTTCGCATGATCAACCACTATACTTTTAAGAAGACTTTGGGAAATTTTGAAAACAGTGAAAATCATTGTGTTAAATTCTATAGATATTTTTAATTAGGCTTTTTATTTAGGGAAATGATCAAATAAGTGTTAAAGTTTGTGGGGTAGAGTAACATTTTATACATATTAAAAGCATTATTTAGAAACAATCATTTTGCTTGTGTTATTTGTTACCTGAATGGTATTGTTTGTTTCTTAAGAATATGCAGTAGGAAAACATTTTTCATAATGATGATATTATAGATTATTTAATAGTTTCCTGTAAAAGCCCTTTAAATAGCAAAGTTTTAGTTCAGAAATATATCCATAACTCATAAACCACACGGTAAATTTTATTTAAAATTTTGCATACAGGTGCCTTTAAAGGCATTAAACTGTCCTACGTTGCAAATTTTAAAGTTCCTTATAGTGAACATTACCCATTGTCTACCTTAAACCGAAGATACAAATTTGATATTGTGATACTTCAATTAAGAGGAAATACGGTAAACTCCGCTTATAACGATATTCCGCTTATAGCGATGCTGTTTCCGCGGTCCCGACTCTTGGGTTTCAAATTGCTTGCCTCTCGGATATAACGATATCCGGATATAACGATATAAATTCAGCGGTCCCCTGAATATCGTTGTAAGCGGAGTTTACCGTATACAGAAAAAGAACGTTAGCTTTTTTTTTCATAAGAACATGTTCATATAAAATTGTCTATAATGTTTTTTTTCAGTATCAAATTGTCAGTAAAAATTAGTTATATTGTATTTTTTTTCCCTTTCTCTTGTATCTGTTATATAGGCATATTAGCTGTAAATATATATTTATGGCTCTCACTGATTGGCTAACAATATCATATGTCCTAGTAATTAAACACATGGGACATATGACCTACATTTTAGTAAGGCAAATATTCATAATTAATGCGTCTAATTATTTTAGAATAACCCATTTTTTATGTATCAGTAGTAGTAATCTTTATTTAACTTTATTAGTGTATGTAGTATTCTTGTGTCCAAAGATGTAATTAACACGATATAAATACGTTTATCGAGTCCCAACTTAATACACCTGTATAATAGTGTCCGTTTTGTAACGTCAATTTTCATTGGACAATCCTCACATTCATATTAATCATACTGGCGTATAAAATATTGACATAAATGGGCTTATTTTTGCCCTTAAAACTGTTTGAAAAAAATGTATTAATATTCGATTTCACACCTTATCAAATATAACCATTGAGCTTTCAGCGTTTGAACAACATGATGTTCCAATAGAAATCATCATTGTTGCAATCTTACAAATTTTGCCTCGTTTCCATTTCCAGAGTCCAAAAATCATATCAAATGCATATCGTACCCCATATAGCCTCGTTTTCATTTTCAGAATAGTTTGTCGGCTGGTACTCATTCTATAGAATTCAGTATTGTTCTAAACAAGGTATAATGACATGATAATATCAATTGAGCCGCGTCACGACAAAACCAACATAATGTGTTTGCGACCAGCATGGATCCAGACCAGCCTGCGCATGGATCCGCGCAGTCTGATCAGGATCCATGCTGTTCGCTTACAAATTCTATAACAAGTAGAGAACAGCATGGATCCTGACAAGACTGCGCGGATGCGCAGGTTGGTCTGGATCCATGCTGGTCGCAAACACATTATGTTGGTTTTGTCATGACGCGGCTCAATTATTCTGCACAAAATAATTTTTACAGCAATTATTTCACCTTTTAGAATGATACTAAATTGTCATGCAAAGACAACGACATTATTATAGGAAATCAGTGCAATGACATTTTGAAAAAAAATACTCAGTAGAATTACAAGGCATTGAACAACGTTATTTCACAATGAAGCGATAAATGTCTTTATATGGAATGTTATTCAGTGTTTGACCACTATTCATACATGACTGAATGTACTTAAGTATTATTTATAGAGCTAGACCTGCCTTCAATATAACTATAATTATTTTCTTAATTAAACATCAAACTAAGCTATGCTTCACAAAATACGCTTTAAAAAAAAACAAAAACTTCACGTATCACATGATAGCCTTTAACTCTATAACTCACACATAAAATAAAAAAACTCGTTCTTTTACACCAGTGTAATGTTTTATTCCTGCGCAGTTCCTGTGAGTATATGGTATGAAACATTTGTTATGTCTGCTGTTTACTAAATACTCAGTGATAATTTGTTTTGTGCCTTTTTCCTCTGAATTCACCTGATGTCATAATGAAGTAGACGTTAAAACAGAGACGATCAATATCTTTGCAAATCAAGCCTATTTTTAGTGAGAATACAAATAGCAAAACTTTGTTTTTATCTGCTAAAAAGACATTTAAGTCACAGAGCAAAATCTATTTTTATATATTAATTGTTTTACAACACGTTCCAACTTGAAACACTGATTGCATTTTGAAGAGTTAATGATTACATATGTCACGTTTTCTACAATAACGTGACACGTACGACAGACTGTCAGTAACTACGTTATTTGTGCCGAGTGGCCTAATTACAAATTAACTGACCAGTAGAAAAGAACTAAATCTGACAACCAACAATTGTTGCAGATATTCCCATTCATTAACACTACATGAGAAAGTGATGTTTCACCAAACCATAAAGACACGGCCTTGAAAGAAGCAATCAAACCTGACACAAATGGCTCATTATATGTTCCGCGTTTAACACAAAGATATAACATAAAATCATTGTATTTTTCTGTTTTATTGTCAATATAACTTTATTACTGTATTTAATAATTAACATTAAGCCCGACAACTTGTAAGGATATTTGCATAACAATATGTCCATAACATTAGCACAATCATTGAAGTAATTTACAGAATTTGCAATGTTTCATATTTATGCATAATAGCTGGCTCCTGCATATGATTTTCAATTCAAACTTTCCGCTGAATATTTACGCAGGTCTAGACACCAATTCAAGAAAGAGTGCAAATCTTTTGACAAAATTTGGTCACGTGATATGGAAAAAATCCGTCTTTAAAGCACAGACAATTTGAGCAATTTGGTATGGAGGCATTCTTCACTCGCTAATGTGATGTTGCTTATTGATTCAACTTCTCTATGGCGTTTCTTTAATTAAATGGTTGACCTTGACTTTTCAACTGATTAAGATAAAAGTGATTTATATTTATTTTCCCGATACAAAGTGAACAGAGGAATAACCACAAATTTGCTAGAACTTATAAATGTACTTGATTGTTCCAGCTACATAGGCAATTAGAGAATCTTTAAAAGATAGTTATTTTTATTACAGATGAAGCGAGACTTAAGTTAAAAAAGAGACATTCTCCATGAAACTATTTCATCCCTTCTTGTTTTATTTTCAATAACATTAAAATTGCCACAAAGGAAATCGTTGTATGTTTGTTTGTTTAGTTGTATTTTGTCTTAATAAGACTAGAACGTTATATGAACCAAATGGAGTTATTATGTTATAAAACGTACAGGAATTATATGACATGCCCTTGAAAACGTGACGTCCTGATGTGAACTTACATTTTTATTTTTTAAGAACATGTTACATGCTGTAAATAACATTAATATAGGAAATTATGTAACAAATACACGTGTTTTTGGCTACTTTTAAATTTCTTATTGAAAATTTTGTCACATATTAAAGAAAAACCACAATATTGTGATAAAGTTGTGCCTTTTTATGCTCCTAACGAGCGTTTAATTATGCTCATATTAAACAAACATGACAGCTGAGTGCATTATTTATACGACATATGTATTTATATACAAAAGAATGCTTACATGCTATCTATGTAGAATATACTATATAAAGTTCCTCAAAATTTTATTTTGAATATATTTAAAAACATTAACAAGTGTATAAATTTTAGCTCCATACTCATTTTATTTGATATAACCTAAGATTTTTACGTTATAACAGCTAATCATGGGTTTATCTTTTGCTAGTTTACTATATTTAAAAAAAATATTGTCAACATTAAACCTTAAACATCTACTTTCATGTTTTTGTCCAATTATTTTTTTATCCAATTATTGTTTATCCTATCATGTTTTTATCCTAATGATCGTAAGTATTTTATAATCTGCGATATGACAAGTGTTAAAATTTGGAATGAATACATTGCTAGTGAGATTAATTCCGTCAATATATTGATTGTATATGATAACTGCCAGCAAAAATGATTAATAATCATCATACTTGATTTGAGTTGATCATGGTTAGTAAAGAAATTAAATTCTATTGACTGTTTAGGTTGTGAAGAAAAAAAACAAAACATTGAATATTTATCATCGTGATGACGGCAGGGGCATAGAACTTCAATGTATTGTTTCTGGTGCCTTTTGTTTGGTGAAAGATACAAAATATATTTATTAATCTATTTGAGAATTATATATAATTCTAACATTATGTTAATGTTTTTTGTACATAATTTTCTCATTATTGAACCGCCGAACATGGCAATGGACATTTTTGTGAAATTTTTTTGCCAATAAAAAATTTAAATCTTGATCTCTTGGTGAAGGCATTAATGATTTTCAAGGCATCAAGTTGTGACAATTAAAGTGAAAGCTTACCTTTTGTGCTTTTCGTTTGTCAGCCCGTTGATTTTGATGATATATTCTGCTAAAATTTGAGACAATAACAGGAACCGGAAGCGCTATGACCAACACTCCACTAAGAGAGCAAACACTGCCCACTATCTTACCAGGTATAGTCTTTGGAACGATGTCACCATAACTGAAAAATATAAATGTTACAATTATAATTTGTGTGACGTTAATTGAGTACATTGATATACTTAAAAACTGTATGATAATATAAGAACAATTTTGATACAGAATACAAAAAAAACCCCAAAAAACCCTGAAAAACCCCGAAAAACAACGTTATTATAAATGTTCATAAAGTAAAATATCAGTTAAGATGATTACTATTATACTTATTATTTATATCGTAGTTTTTATTCATGCCTAATTTCACAGCGGGTACCTTACACATATACATATTAAAACAGTACTTAACAGAGTATTGCAAATTTAGCTACAGTATTTGCTACCATCAATTTTTGTATCATCTTATTATTATAAACAGTTGCTAATAATACTTTGAACTCTATATAGACAAGTTACAAAACGTAAGAAAGTAATTGAAATTGGCATTTCCAGTATAATATTACTTCTCAGATTTGCACAGTGAAATTTGGACTCGCCACCATGTTGAAAGGAAAACAAAACGGATGAATTTTGAGATGCAGGCACTGATGAAGTACTTTAACACTGATATACGTAAAGCGTAGCATATTCCAGTCTTTTTGCTTATTTTGCTTTATTTATACGTAAATATTTTCTGCCAAAAATATCATACCTTTAAGTAGAAAGCAAGCTATATTTTAGATCTGACCGACATTTTCAGCCGACTGTAGATAAATTAACGCTTAATCATGATGAATTTTTACTTCATATTGATTTATATTTTATAGAGGTTTTTAGGCTCCGCGTAATGCCATTTCCATTATTTGAACATTTCCTTAGTTTCACAAATTATATGTAATTGAAGCGGTTAGTTAATCTAATAAATCAAAATGTAGGCTCTGTTTTTATTGTATTCTGAACAGAAATAAAAAAACCCGTCTTATTCAGTATCAAGCATCAAAATAAAATTTGATAATCTTCGGCGAGGAATATCATCTAAATAAAGTTCTATATAAAAATGATTGGAAATTTCAGCAGATAATTATATACTTTGGAATAGTTTTTAAAAATTACATATTAACTGCAAGCAAATACATGTAAAACCTTAATAAAAGAATAATTTAAGTTGCAATGTTATATAAATTTACAAATATGACAGAACTTTACATTGTATTTCATAAACCAGGGCCTTTCAAAGGATAATTTGAAAGACCCTGCATAAAAATAAAAGAAAGCTCACAATGGTATGTTGTAAAATAGATGAATATAAATATCGCTCTGCACATGTGAGATTTTTTATAGAAACAAACAAATGTCCGTTATATATATTATTTACTGGAAGTGCTTTACCATTTATTCGATTTGAAGCATTATTAAGTTAAACTATGCTCAATTTTCAATAGTGTTTATGCAAGCTATGAATTATAGATAATGCACTCGATATGTGTGCATTTGATATAGTAAACTCTTCCAGTTAAGTGTCTGTGGTGGATTAAGGCAAACAATTTCTGTAATCGTTTTACAAATTCCCCAAGTCCCATAGTGACGTCATCGATGTATCGGCAGCTTAGTCAGTACTCTAATGAGGAATTGATCAGTCTAAATAAGTTAGGGAAGACATTTAACATTAAGTGTTCTCGTTTTTTCAAGAGAACTATTTTACTAGAGGAGGGAAAAAACAAATACACGATCTTTCCATATTTGTCCGCTAAATGAGTAAAATATAATTGCGTTTCGGCGCGTAAATTTCATGTTTGTTAAATATTTAAAGAGTGGTCCTCAGCGAAAAATCCGATTGTTTTTACTTTCAGCGTTTTCAATAAGAAAACGTGATGATTTATGATTTCACGTTTAGAAGAAGTTTTCTGTGGTTATTAATCAAAGAAGTATTGAACATGGAGGTTATATTGTAACATTGAAAGTTGCATCAGGAGAATAAGTCATATTGTAATATACAAACTATAAAATAAACATGCTCTTGTTTTAGAGAAGTATTCTCATAATTGAAGTTAAAATTCACCAGTTACCTACCAGTATTATATCAAAATTAAGTTGAAGTCTCGTATAAAGGGAGACAAAAAAAGAAAGTAAATGGTCTAATATAAATTCTGAGCTTGCATTTAATATTACATAATGAAATAGCATAAAATCTGAACATAACTTAATATTATTTTCTAAATACCAGAAATAATTGGCGCAAACTTTTGCCAAACACTTTTATACATATATTAATACATATATTTTCTGGCAGGAAACAATAAGAAATAATCTTTCCTAAAACATAAAACATGTTCTTGTAAGATATAATTATTCGCGAGAATAGATTTTTTCTTGGGGTCTAGCCTTTTGATTCTAGATTCTAATTTGCTTTGTTATCAAGAAACACTAGGAGCCTTGATAGGGCGCGGCCTTAATCAGCCGCGAAGGGTCATCTTATTTGACGACTCTCTGAAAGTGACGGAGAGAGAAAGCCGACAGAAAAATATAGACAACAACGACTTTGTGATATTGTCATGCTCATACTGTACACAATACTGGCAATGGAGTCCTTATTTAGACGCAGAAGTCGTAATTATATTTACAAAATAAGTAGATATCTGTGTACGCTAAACTAGACGGCTTAATCAATTTAACTCTACGTCATCTATGTTTCCGAGGCAATCCATTGTATAAAAAAGACGACGGTGACATTATATAGCTCCTTCTATTTTCATTACGTCGTATAATATGTCTGCAAAATAAACAGATGTAAGAAAAAGATGCTTCAGATAAACAAAATTGTATCAAGTTCCTTTAACCCTGACCTTGACCGAACACAATCTTCCTGTATTGTATAACATAAATATTTAGATTACCCATCTTGGTACATGGAAATCTGTCTTCATAAACATAAAATTATTCATATACTAGTAGACTGTTTGTTATAATAATAATATTCTAATAAAATAACCCAATAACATTCGTGATAACAGTTTCTTTGTGTCTGAATTCGGACATTATCTTAAGAAACAGTATCAAAACGAAGAAAGTGTTTCAAACATAGGTATCTACATACTACATTGTAAGCATAAGAAAGCAATTCCAGGAGTTGTTTGGCACTGTCATCCCGGAGTAGTATTATAAACATAAGTATAATTAATATTGTCTGTATCAAATATTTACACCTATATTTATAGAAAAAATCACACATGTGTGTCAATGTTACATATATTAGGATTAATTATCTATCTTTATGGAGAATGATAATGGATTAATGTTCACAAAATGCGTCACTGGAACACATGGTAAGGAGGTAAAAACCTGTATCGTGACAAATTCATTACAGAACAAATGATTCACAGCTGAATAACTGTTATATATAAATACCTTTTTTATCACCTAGTTTATATACATTTTTGTTAGTTTTACATGCAAGTTTCTTTGTCTTCTTGTATTTGTATTAGTGTAAGATTGTCTAGATATTTTCAACAGTTTTTATTTTGCATTATGTTTTCTCAGTTGTATATGATTATTTTTGTATATACATTTCTTCAGGGGTTTCTATGCAGTTTTTTCTTCAAGTTTGCTTGTCATACATTTGTTTAATACAAATTTGAATACTTCTTGCAACAGAAATGAGCCGCGTCATGACAAAACCAACATAATGGGTTTGCGACCAGCATGGGTTCAGACCAGCCTCCGCGTAGTCTGATGCGGCTCAAATGAATCTTATTTTGAGATACATGATGTTTATGATGAAAAATTTGCCAATGAATTTGACCCTTGAATTAGTCTTGATTTAATATAGCAAATAGCAGATAAATTCCGTCAGTTACACTTAAGGCAATCGCAATTTCAAATGACTGCAATCCTATCAATGCCTGTTTACGACGTACATTTATTAGCTCCATATATACGCCGTATCGTTCCGCCAATCAAATAGTCCTCTGGTCGTGATGAATTCAGACACAATTTTCCCCGCGATAAGTCCCATCTATATCCTCTGTTTCGTTATACAAACAGACAATTCGCGCAAATTTGCACCCAATAAAAAACGTCTCTACTGAATTCGTATATAGCATCTTAATTGTTTCCACATATACAGCAAACGGCAAACCACTTCTATCATGTCGCTCCGAATATCGATTACCTTACAAAGGTCTGTGGGGTAGTTAACGGTGTTGTATGTAGATATAAACTTTCTGTATGACAACTTAAGAAACATACAGACAAGCTGTGAGGAAGAAATGCATATTTTAGGTAAGATATATAAAGTTAATTTTATTCCATAAGGCCGCATGACCCACGAGGATGTAAAATACAATATAAGATATAAAATCATAATTAGGAATAAGAATTGAAGTCGAAGTGAACTAAAATCTTAAATACTTAATTTACAATTGGTGCGACCTCTTATGCATACCCGATTAGTATATGCATTAGAATAATGGCCTTTGATACATTTCAGACTGAAATAATTAAATCACTATTGTTTGGTAATTTAACCATGGCTTATCTTTGATATTTGGTAATTCAAACATGGCAATCTTTGATATTTGGTAATTTTAACATGGCAAATCTTTGATATTTGATAATTCAAACATGGGCAAATCTTTGATATTTGGTAATTTTAATATGGGAAATCTTTGATATTTGGTAATTCAAACATGGCAAATCTTTGATATTTGGTAATTTTAACATGGGAAATCTTTGATATTTGGTAATTTTAACATGGCAAATCTTTGATATTTGGTAATTTTAACATGGCAAATCTTTGATATTTGGTAATTCAAACATGGCAAATCTTTGATATTTGGTAATTTTAACATGGCAAATCTTTGATATTTGGTAATTCAAACATGGCAAATCTTTGATATTTGGTAATTTTAACATGGCAAATCTTTGATATTTGGTAATTCAAACATGGCAAATCTTTGATATTTGGTAATTTTAACATGGCAAATCTTTGATATTTGGTAATTCAAACATGGCAAATCTTTGATATTTGGTAATTTTAACATGGCAAATCTTTGATATTTGGTAATTCAAACATGGCAAATCTTTGAT